AGGTTCGCTCCGGTTACTTTCATTGCGCGTATGGGTTTTGGGCCCAAACACTTGCATGATTGTTAGACTCCTTGGTCCGTGTTTCAAGACGGGCGACTTGCAACCATTACGCCAGCATCCTTAGAATGCAGGCCTCGGGGCAACAAGGAAATAGAGACCGGGGTTATAATCCTCGAAAGGTACATTCCCCGGTGGTTTTGTTTCCCGCCGCCCCGATGCTGGCCCAGTTAAGTGTCTGCTTGCAAGCCCTTCCCTTTCAACAATTTCACGTACTTTTTCACTCTCTTTTCAAAGTGCTTTTCATCTTTCCATCACTGTACTTGTTCGCTATCGGTCTCTCGCCGGTATTTAGCTTTAGATGGAATTTACCACCCACTTAGAGCTGCATTCCCAAACAACTCGACTCTTGGAGATCTGGGATGAGGGCGTTAAAGGGGTTCACGGGGCTGTCACCCTCTGTGGCGCCACTTTCCAGTGGACTTAACCCCCGCCGGCCGGACCCAAATCTCTTCAAATTACAATTCCCGGGGGATTTCAAATTTGAGCTTTTGCCGCTTCACTCGCCGTTACTGAGGCAATCCCTGTTGGTTTCTTTTCCTCCGCTTATTGATATGCTTAAGTTCAGCGGGTAGTCTTACGAGGGTGAGGAAAAAGGCTGGGGCTAAAACTTATTCTAGCGCCGTTGATATTAGGCCGAAGCAGGACCAAACCGGAGGTTTGAGAGTAAATATCGCTCACCCACGCATGCCCTGGGGAATACCCCGGGGCGCAATGTGCGTTCAAAGATTCAATGATTCACGTCTGCAAGTCATATTACGTATCGCAATTCGCTGCGTTCTTCATCGATGCGAGAACCAAGAGATCCGTTGTTGAAAGTTTTTGAATTGTGTATTTGAAGAATTCAATGGTAAGTGTTTATGCCTAAAAGTGTATAAGTGTTTTTTTAATGATCCTTCCGCAGGTTCACCTACGGAAACCTTGTTACGACTTTTACTTCCTCTAAATGACCAAGTTTGACCAGTTTCTCAACCCACGGCCGGGTCGCCCCAGCCATAGGTTCAATCCAGAGGCCTCACTAAGCCATTCAATCGGTAGTAGCGACGGGCGGTGTGTACAAAGGGCAGGGACGTAATCAACGCAAGCTGATGACTTGCGCTTACTAGGAATTCCTCGTTGAAGAGCAAAAATTACAATGCTCTATCCCCAGCACGACGGAGTTTCTCAAGATTTCCCAAACCTCTCGGCTAAGGCAAACTCGCTGGCTCCGTCAGTGTAGCGCGCGTGCGGCCCAGAACGTCTAAGGGCATCACAGACCTGTTATTGCCTCAAACTTCCATCGACTTGGATTCGATAGTCCTTTTATGGCCCGCACCCAACACAAGGTTAGGCCGGGCAAATAAAAGCTAAGGTCTCGTTCGTTATCGCAATTAAGCAGACAAATCACTCCACCAACTAAGAACGGCCATGCACCACCACCCACAAAATCAAGAAAGAGCTCTCAATCTGTCAATCCTTATTGTGTCTGGACCTGGTGAGTTTCCCCGTGTTGAGTCAAATTAAGCCGCAGGCTCCACTCCTGGTGGTGCCCTTCCGTCAATTCCTTTAAGTTTCAGCCTTGCGACCATACTCCCCCCAGAACCCAAAAACTTTGATTTCTCGTAAGGTGCTGGGCGCGTCATGTACATGAGGCGTCGCCCAATCCCTAGTCGGCATAGTTTATGGTTAAGACTACGACGGTATCTGATCATCTTCGATCCCCTAACTTTCGTTCTTGATTAATGAAAACGTCCTTGACAAATGCTTTCGCAGTAGTTAGTCTTCAGAAAATCTAAGAATTTCACCTCTTACAACTGAATACTAATGCCCCCGACCGTCCCTATTAATCATTACGATGGTCCTAGAAACCAACAAAATAGAATCATCGTCCTATTTTATTATTCCATGCTAAAAGATTCAAGCGCTTGCCTGCTTTGAACACTCTCATTTACTCAAAGTAACTATGGCCCGATTAAGGGCCATGGAAGGGCCGCCGCAAAAAGTACTCACAAAAAAGTGGACCTCCGCGGCCGCCCCAAAATTCAACTACGAGCTTTTTAACTGCAACAACTTTAATATACGCTCTTGGAGCTGGAATTACCGCGGCTGCTGGCACCAGACTTGCCCTCCAATTGTTCCTCGTTAAGGTATTTACATTGTACTCATTCCAATTACAAGACCCGAAAGGGCCCTGTATCGTTATTTATTGTCACTACCTCCCCGTGTCGGGATTGGGTAATTTGCGCGCCTGCTGCCTTCCTTGGATGTGGTAGCCGTTTCTCAGGCTCCCTCTCCGGAACCGAACCCTTATTCCCCGTTACCCGTTGAAACCATGGTAGGCCTCTATCCTACCATCGAAAGTTGATAGGGCAGAAATTTGAATGAACCATCGCCGGCCCGAGGCCCTGCGATTCGACAAGTTATTATGAATCTTCTGGAGTGTTGATTTTTTATCTAATAAATA